AACCTCCTCACAACATGGCGAAGAGAGGACCCGGATTCGGTTTGCCTGATTGATAGGACTTGTAAGAACCTGTGGCAACTCTAGCAAGTGGAGCAGAGTGTGTGCCGCGGGACACCGAAGACAGGCGCGTATCAACGCCAAAAAATAAAAAGAAAGGGGGATCTGTGGGGAGCAATTCGGACTAGACTGAGTTACTGGAATTAAGACTTATTCTATGCATCTGCTCTCCCACTGTGGGGAGCAACTTGGACTATATTGTTACTGGAATTAAGACTTATTCTATGCATCTGCTCTCCCACAATATGGCGCTGGGAGAGGAGAAAACAGCTTCTACGCAGCTGCCTCCAGTTCAACCAATAAACTGTAGGACCTACTCCTGATTGGAGGAGAGCAGCGTACTCGGTGTGTGGGCAGCCGAGTTAGGATTGGCGGAGGAGGACTATAAAGGAGGAGAGAGACGGCGTGCACCAGGAACATCTATGGGGAACATCTATGGGGAACATCTATGGGGAACATCTAAGGGGAACACCTGTGCAGCCCCCGAGAAGAGCCGGCCGGCGGTGTGCCGCTCCCCTGCGGAAGTGGGGAATGCGGCCAGGGGGAACTGCCCTTCCACGGAGGTGGAAGGGATAGTAGCCAACCCGGGAAGAACCAGCAGCAAACCCGGGGAGGGCCGAGCAGACGAAAGAACAGCGCAGGGTCCTGTGTCGTTCCTCCACGAAGAGGGGGAGCGACATCCCCTGCCATGGCTCTCTACATCTGTCCACTGCTGGTTTGTCACCATATAATCAAACACCTAATAACTATACCCATAATATTGACCAACTGCTGGCAATTCACCATAGCTATGATGACTACATATGATGAGCCATCTCATAGATTTCTCCCTATCATGGCCTGCTCTTGCCTTGACTCCCCTTATCTGCCACCTGCTACAGTGGCCATCCTGCACTGCCTTCCTGGGCCACAGTAGAGAGCTGGACTGGAAAAGGAGCAACCGGAACAGAACTGGCGCCCCAACCGGTACTAGAACCCAGAGTACCGGCACAGCAGGCGGAGGATTGGCCAAGTGAGCCATGGCGCCATCCCCGACATGCTTCCTCATACACATACTTTATACCCATACATACACTCACAACCACAAATAAGAGACCTTTCTCATCTCCTAAGGAAAGATAGTTTTTGGATGCTAAACAAATATTAGATCATGTAGACAAAGTTGACTATCCTCTGGAATTTTAATTAGGCAGGAGAGGAAGTGATTGTTGATTCAGTTCATCTCATGATTAATTATGCAAACAACCGCAGTGACCAGAATGGGACAGACTAAAGTCAGAAACTTGTTTCTCAATCCAGGTCTCCCACATGAATGACAAGAACCCAACTACTTGAGCCATCACTGGCTGCACCCCAGGGTTTGCAGTAGCAGGAAGCTACAGTTGGGAACTGAAGCTGGGAATCAAACCAAGGTATCCTGATATGCAACACACTAACATCTTAACTGGCATCTTAAACCCTACACCAAACACCCAGCCTTGATTCAAGCTTTAATACAAGAATTATGTCTACAAATTAAAGACACAATTGTATTTTGGCCTAGCAATTAAGACAGTTAAGACATCATGTTCCCTACAAGAATTTCTGGTTTGATTCCCAGTTCCAGCTCCTGATTCAATCTCCTGCCAATTCAGACCCTGGGAGACAGCTGGTGATGGTTCAAGTGACTGAGTTTCTGACTCCCGCATAGGAGAGCTGGATGGAGTTCCTGATTCCCTTCTTCAGCCTTGGCCCTCCCATTCACCTGGATATTGGATGCATTTAGAGAATGAACCAGCGGAAGGGAGGATTTGATTCTCCATCTCTATCTCTTTCCCTCAACATAATAAAAAAAAATTAAAAAATTAAAACACACCCTAAAACTAAAGAGAGAATTTTGAACCAAACAACCAAATGCTCAGTTTCTAACTGAATAAAATGACAGCTATTTCTGACAGGCACACTAGGAGCTGTTTCCTAAATCAGCACATCATGCTTACATCACACTGCCTCTCCTGCAGGAAGGAGTTGTGCACACAGCAGACCCTAGAGCCAGCAGTGAGATGTCTGTCATCCTGTGACTACCTTGGCATCCCAAAGCGTCAAACTGGTCAGAAGGAGAGTGGCAGCTACTTATGGTCTTTTTGACTCAAGTATCTTATTTTTTCATTTGAAATGTAAAATATTGCTGTGATGTTTCACACCCATCCACACACATGTCACTGTTTCTAAATTGTTTTTTGAAGATAATGCTTTAAAGAAAGAAAAATGACATGAGGAATATTGTACAGTGGACTTGATAAAAAATGGGAATAAATTCCCCCCAATGCTTACTTTCCAATGCCTGAGTAGTGTTGTTTTTCTTTGTTAAATAACACAGGGAGCAATACAACTATGGACAGTTAAGGCAAATGTCTTTAAAGGCTGCTGTGAGGTCTGAGCTGTTTTTATTCACATGCTTCTGATGCCAATATGTGGAATGTCTGTGGGTTTTTTTCTTTTTCTCTCATAGCAGTGAATTCTGTAATTCTCTGGGCCCCCATTGTGTGTCCTGCAATTCCATTCAGTTCAGACCCTAACTACTTAGGATCAGCACAAACCCCTCGGGTTCACAGTTCAATCCCCTCAGGCTGCCTTCACCTCAAATGTCAACCTTAAATCCTGAGTCTCCCCTACTTCTGATGGATGAGCTACAAATCAGGGCGTCTCAAGACCTCCTGCCTCAGGTTTGGTATTTGCCAGAACAGCTCACAGAACTCAGAAAGACACTTTCCTTACGACTACCAGTTTATTATTGTGGGGAGCAACTGAGACTAGACTAAGTTACTGGAATTAAGACTTATTCTATGCATCTGCTCTCCCACAATATGGCGCTGGGAGAGACCAAACAACGTCTACACAGCTGCCTCATCAGTTTGATAAGCTGCAGGAGCTGATCCTGCTCCTGATTGCAGGAGAGCAGCGTACTCGGCGTGTGGGTAGCAGAGTTGGGATTGGTGGAAGAGGACTATAAAGGGGGAGAGAGACAACATGCACCAGGAACATCTGAAGGAACACCTGGGGAGCATCTGAGCAGCCCCTGAGAGAGCCGGCCGGTGGTGTGCTGCTCCTCCGCAGAAGCGGGGAAAGCAGCAGGGGGGGTGCCGCCCCTCCACGGAGGTGGAGGGGCTGGCAGCTAACCTGGGACGGTGTCGTTCCTCCGCAAGTGAGGGAACGGCAGCTAACCTGGGAAGAGCCGAGCAGACGAAAGAACAGCGCAGGGTCCAGTGTCGTTCCTCCGCGAATGGGGGAGCGACAATTATAAATGCAGCAACTCAGGAGCAGTCAGATGGAAAAGATGCACAGGGCAGTGTCTGGGGTGGGGCACAGAGCTCCCACCTCTCTCTCCATTCTCCACCTTCCCAGCACCTCCCCGTGCTCACCAACCCTGAAGCTCCCAGATCCCCATCACTGAAGGTGTTCATGCAGGCTGCATTGCACAGGCATCACTGTCTGACTCATTGGCTATTGGTGACTGACTCCATCTCCACGCCCTCTCCCCTCCTCTGGAGGTCAGAAGTGGGAGGTGGGAAAGTTAGTCATGTGATTTCTTCCCCTGGCAATCAGTCCCCATCCGGAAGTTATCCAGGTGCCCACCAAGAGTCACCTCAAGAACACAAACCAGGTGTTAAAACAGACTTATGATGCTGTGCAAAACTAATGCAGAAATGGACAGGATAAGGGAAGGAGATGAGACAAAGGCCACAGGCCATTAGGTGAACCTGTGAAGAAGGAGAAGGGGACTGGACTAAGAGTATCAAATCTAGGCTGAGACCCTCTAAATGTGGTCTTCAGCAAGGACATTAAGAAAGTGCTTGGCTTTAGAAACTGAAGGAACGCAGAAATTCAGGGGAGTAGGAGGAGCACTCCAGAGGAACAGCAGCTGATGCAATGGGGACTTAGACGCAGAGGTGGCCCCAGAAGTGAGGCTCTGATTCCTTCAGAGCAGCCTGGGCACAGCACAGGTTGGGGGAAGAGGGCAGTCTTCCCTGGAGGATCGTGCTGTGCACTCACCCAATCCCATTTGCTTGGCTCCTGGACTCACAGCTCAACTGCTATCCCCATCTCCCTGGGTGGTACAAGTGGCTGACTTGGCCAATGGAATGAGAGTGGAGCTAAGTACCCCATTGTGGATGAAGGGATTAAGATTTATCTCTACAGGCTCCTTTACCATCTGAAACAAAAGATGCTTCCCTATCCCTATCACCAGCAAATTCCATGGATTTTAGAAGCACTAAGCCAGGACCTGCACAAAGAACAAACACATATTTCTTATTCTAGACAACATCATACATGCCATTCCCTGAAGACATCAAGTTCAAAATTGCTGCCATCACCAAAGATGAAGCCTCTGGAGAGTTCTCCATGATTCTGCATCTTGAATTTTTTTCCTCTTTAAAGTCAGGAATGTTTCATTGCCTCTACTCATTCATCCAGTTCAAAGTTCAAGGAAACCTTCCCATAGGGTTAACACATCTATTATGTCTTAACATATGCAGTCACTTATGGAAAACCTCATTGCTTCCAATTTTGTTTGGAATATATATTAAAGGGAACCTCAAAAACATCATTATGGGGCCCAGCATTGTGGCCTGCAATGCTGGCATCCCATATGGGTGCTGGTTCTAGTCCCAGGTGATCCACTTTCAATCCAGCTCTCAGCTATGGCCTGGGAAAGCAGTAGAGGATGGCCCAAATCCTTGGACCCCAGCGCCCACATAGGAGACCCAGAAGAAGCTCCTGGCTCCTGGCTTTGGATTGACCAAGCTCCAGCCATTGTGGCTATTTGGAGAGTGAACTATCGGGTGGAAGACCTCTCTCTCTCTTCCTCTGTCTTTGTAACTCTGCCTTTCAAATAAATAATCTTTAAAAAAAATCATTATGACCTCCAAGGTGCTATAAGATTTTCCCATGTCCACCTCTCCACACATCCTTCCTCCAGCTCCTCCCCCTAACCCCCAGCCTACAACATACCATCCTGGCTTCTTTTGTCCCTGGATATGAAAAAATCTGTTTTCCATTCAGGGCTTTGGTTTGGGCTGTTTCTTCTTTTCTGTGATCTTTGTGTCATTAACTTCATTTTTGTCATTCAGTTTTAAACTCAAAATTCCTTTCCAGGGAGACCTTCCTGTCTACTGTCACTGAAGTAAGATTCTGTGCATTTTTATCAAATCATCCAATTCTTCATAACTCCTTTCATGAAATAGGTCTGGATTTAATACCATATCCTAATTTGTCATCTAAAGCATTCTATGGTGACATTAATAATATTACATAGATTATCATGAGGGTTAATTAGAATAAGAGAGTACTTAGTACAAAACAATTTCTAAACAAATATCAAAAAATTTTCCCAGGATAAAATCAGACTTTACAGATATAATTTCCTTGATTTCTTTCATTATAATTCAGAGACATACAGTTTTCAGTTCTATGGCTGACATTACTCAAGCTGTATTATAATTATTTTATTTTCTTTTTAAAATATAAAATATATGATACTAGCAGGGATAGGTTAAGCAGTGGTTAAGCTATGGCTTAAGATGTTGGCATCCCGTATCAGAATGCCTGGATTTAAGTCTGAGTTCTACTTCTAATTCCAGCTTACTATCTTTGCGTACACTGGGAGGCAGCAGGTTCAAGTACTTGGGTCCCTGCCTATTGTAAATGAATGCAAATTGAGGTTCTCCTATTGTATAGATTTAATTTCCCAGATCTGCTTAGACAGTGCCAGAAGGAATGTGTTTCAGATTTACCAGAATTAGCATATTTTAAGTACCACGGAAAAACGCATTCTGTTACATGAAATTATAAAGTGTTACATGGATAAATGGTATTGCTTTATGTACAAGTGGTTTCTGTCCCTGAATCATACAGTTATGAATGTTTTATCAATTTCTGATGTAGTCCAAAGAAAACAAATTGTAACAATTCCCTCCTATGTTGTCAATTAGGTGAGCAGATGTGACTGCTAAGAGCAAGTTATTTGGGGAGCCATCGCTTTGTTACCAAATTAAAATTGGGCTGGATGTTAGGGAGGGGGTCCCAGCTCAAAATCCCTAATCACATTTAGCAAAGCAAATAATTTTTTGAAAATGACAGATGCTTTATAGGTAAAGGTTTGGAAGACATTAGCCAACAATCCATTAAACATGAAGGCAAAATGATTAAATGCCTGTTACTATGTTTATTATACTACTTTATTTGTCAAAGTGTTTTGAGGGTGTTCCAAGTATAATTTTCTCAGTCCAGTGAAAATGAACTTGCCTCCAATAATCCTAGCTTGGATGTTTGGTTCCTCTTCTGACATTTTACAACTCCAGGTGTCTGACTTTTTTCAAATTCAATTCAAATGCAGAAGAAATCAAATAACTTGAAAATGGCCTTGTAAGCTTTATAGCCTGTCATGTCTTGTTCTTGGGTGTATACCACTCACCTCACTCCCCACATTGTTATTAGGAATGGTGATTTCTTTGTCTAGTTTGGCCTTGTGTGTATGTCATGGCCTTGGTCAACTTCTCTGTATTTTCTAAATAGAAACAATACACATAAAATTAATGACAAAGCTGATTATGGTGGTTTGTATAAGTTAGAAGACATTTATATAAATTTCTGAGGGCTTATCTCTACAAGAAGGACACGTAAATTTAGCTGCTAATTAAGCCTAGATTAACTTTGTTAATGAATATGAGCATGTTTTAAGCTTTCTAATGAAGAGGAGTGTCCACACGGGTCGGTAAAGAGGCTGTACAGAAGGTACTAGCAGAAATCACAACAGAAGAACTGCGCATTTATATGAAGAATATTTTTGTTTGTTTATATATATTTCACTATAAATAATGAAAAATTAGTATATATATTTCCTTTGAATAGAATAGAGATTCAAACATAAACAAAGATCTCTTTTCCTGGCATCAAAAAAATTAGAGTTGGGGCCGACGCTGTGGTGCAGTGAGTTAAAACCCTGCCCTAAAGCACCAGCATCCTATATGGCACCGGTTCTAGTCCTGGCTGCTCCTCTTCCGATCCAGCTCTCTGCTATAGCATGGGAAAGCAGTAGAAGATGGCCCAAGTCCTTGGGCCTTTGCACCCATGTGGGAGACCCAGAAGAAGCTCCTGGCCCCTGCCTTCAGATCAGTGCAGCTCTTGCCATTGTGGCCATCTGGGCAGCAGACCAGTGGATGGAGGACCTCTCTCTGTCTCTACCTTTCTCTGTAACTCTGTCTTTCAAATAAAAAAAAAAATCTTTAAAAAAAATTGTAGTCAATGACTCACCCCAGAAGTGGACATTTGGTACAATGATTAAGAACCCCAGTTTAAAGTTTCTGAGTTCAAGTCTCAGCTCTGCTTCTGATTCCTGCTAAATTTGCACCCTGAAAGGCAGTAGGCAGTGGCTCAAATACTGTTTCTTGCCACTCACATGACAATCCTGACAAATTCTGGTCTTAGGGGCTGTATTGAGCATTTGAATAAATCAACAGATGGGAAATCTCTTTTTGTTTCTCTCTACGTGTCTGTCTACCCTTCAAATAAAAAGAGAATAAGTTTTAAAAATTAAAAATAAACTTCATCCCAAGGTTCAATCACTCTGCCTTCTTGATTACCTCCTGATTATAATAATCGTATTTTGCAAGTGGCCAAAATTTTAGGTATTCTCTCTTCTCTGTTTCTTTGGCCCCTATAATGGTTTCCAGTAGTATTGGCTCACTGCATCTAATGAATACTAAAGAGGGAAGTATGTAAAAGTTGGAGCAGGACAAAGGCAAAGTCATTCAAGACAATTAGAGTGTAGAAGGAAAGGCAAAGCCAGCCCTGAACAGGATTTTGAATAAGGCAATTTTTTTTTCTAGGATATAATCTCTTCTCTTTCTTCTTTGGCTTTCCTATACACATTTTGTGTTCTTTACATTTTCCTTTTACTTTCTTTCAAAGGTGCCTAATATTTTCCTACATGCTCAATGTGGGCTTGCTCTAACCAGGAGTCAGACTACTCTATGAATTTCTCCATCTATTGAAGCTATTTGTTCTGTAGACCAGCATCTACTAAGGAATTGTGGCATGAATGGGCAAACTAAATAGAATCCGTGTGAATTTAGCAGCTAGAATCATGTTAAGGGGCCGGTGCTGTGGCTCACTAGGTTAATCCTCCACCTGCGGCACTGGCATCCTGTATGGGTGCCAGGTTCTAGTCTCGGTTGCTCCTCTCCCAGTCCAGTTCTCTGCTGTGGCTTGGGAAGGCAGTGGAGGATGGCCCAAGTCCTTTTGCCCCTGCACCCCACATGGGAGACCGGGGGAGAGCGCCCGGCGCCCCGTCTCTGATCAGAGTAGCGCTGGCCCATATACTTTTTACTGTGTTCCACAAACTCTCTGAAGCGCACTTAGAAAGATAGAGACTAGCAGATAAAAGCTAGAGACGAACTTTTTCTCTTTTTCAAAATCTTGCATAGGGCAGGGCCTCTCTTCGCTTTTACACTTTGAGATACTCTTCTTTGGTCTTACTCTAGTGTTTCACACCTATATTTAGATCAACAGATGGGAGACAACAATGGGTGCTAAGGGAAAAGTATATAACACAAGATAGGGGAGATAAAAAGAGACCCATTTGCCCCCCCCCTCAACTAGGCTAATTTCCCTCCGGCGCTGGCACACTGGGTTCTAGTCCCGGTTGGGGCGCCAGATTCTGTCCCGGTTGCCTCTCTTCCAGGCCAGCTCTCTGCTGTGGCCAGGGAGTGCAGTGGAGGATGGCCCAAGTCCTTGGGCCTGCACCCATGGGAGACAGGATAAGTACCTGGCTTCTGCCATCGGATCAGCGCGGTGCGCCGGCCACAGTGCGCTGGCCGCGGCGGCCATTGGAGGGTGAACCAACGGCAAAAGGAAGACCTTTCTCTCTGTCTCTCTCTCTCACTGTCCACTCTGCCTGTCAAAAAAAAAAAAAAGTGAACCATTTGGGGGGTGAACCAATGGAAGGAAGACCTTTCTCTCTGTCTCTCTCTCTCTCTCACTGTCTAACTCTGTCAAAAAAAAATCATGTTGAATGGGTCACAGCCTTGCAAGTAGAAGCAACATGTCCACTGCAAAATACACGGACTTAAGACTCATGTTCAAGTCCAGTATGTACTTCAGAAAAGTCATTTAAATTTTGTAAGATTCAGTTTCCATATCCACAAAATAAGCGGAGAGATTAAAGTCAGACCATATAGTAACCGATAGTAGAATGCCTGCTATATTCTAGGCACTGTTCTAAAGGCTTTGCATGTATTAACACAACACTACACTGCCTACTCAGAAAATGAGCATTATGATGGCCATTTTATAGTTGAGGAAATAAACATTCAGGGATGTCAATTAATATAAGCCATTTTATCTCTTTTCTGGATTCTCACAATAGATTGCTGAATTCACTTTTTTTACCCTTTCTCATCAGTATGTTCTTAGCACAACAGGCAGAAGAATCCTGTAAATACTGTGCACTTACTCCTCATGTAGGATCTTTGTCCTTAGTGTGCTGTATATTGAGATTTAATGCTATAACTAGTACTCAAACAGTATTTTTCACTTTATGTTTCTGTGTGGGAGCAAACTGTTGAAATCTTTACTTAATGTATGCTAAACTGATCTTCTGTATATAAAGAGAAACGAAAATGAATCTTGAAGTGAATGGAAGGGGAGAGGGAGTGGGAAAGGGGAGGGTTGCGGGTGGGAGGGACGTTATGGGGGGGAAGCCATTGTAATTCATAAGTTGTACTTTGGAAATTTATATTCATTAAATAAAAGTTAAAAAAAAAGAAGTAAAAAAAAATACTGTAGTCAGATCCTGATGTTCCTTTCCTTAGAAGCTTCCTATCTTGTCTGAAGCAGGAGCCAAAAATCCAACCTATATTCTGTAGAATTCTCCTAATTGATCCTTATCTTAGGCTCTCCCTGCTAGCACCAGTGAGTGGTGCTGGCCCCCAGGACACCACTAATTCCTTTACACGACACTGGCAGTCTTCTCTCCAGAATGCTCTTCTCCATTTTTCTCAATACTGGCTGCCCATACATGTTTTTCTCAAAAATCACCTTTTTTATTTTAATTTTTAATTAGTTTTTAACTGATTTAATATGGTTTATAGATATATTTCTAAGAACACACTGATATTTCCTTCTTCCTTCCATCCATAAACATGTTCAGGTCACCTTACATAAAATTGCAGCCCCATAGCTCCAACACTTTATATACCCATTATCTTTCTTTATATACTTTCCCCTTAGCACCCATTGTTGTCTCCCATCTGTTGATGCTAAACATAGATGTGAAAAACTAGAGTAAGACCAAAGAAAAGTAACTCAAAGTGTAAAAGCGAAGGCAGGGCCTGCCCTATGCAAGATTTTGAAAAAGACAAAGTTTGCTTCTAGCATTTAACTGCTAGTTTCTATCCTTCTAAGGGTGCTTCAGAAAGTTTGTGGAACACAGTAGAAAGATTATGGGCCAGAAGAGAATGGGATGATGCATTCAAGTTATTAAAATGAAAAAACTTCCAACCAAGAATATTATACCCAGTGAAACTATCCTTTAAAAGTGAAGGAGAAATAAAGCATTTTCCTGATAAGCAAAAACTGAGAGAATTCACTACCACCTACCAGCCTTACATGAAATTCTGGAGGATATTCTGTATTAGAAATAAATACCATGAAAATACATGACATCTCCAAAGTCACTAAAAGAGCAGGTAGAATCATCATGAACAACAAAATGACAATTCTTAGTTCTTATCCATCAACACTAACCTTGAATGTAAATGGATTAAATTCACCAACTGAAAGACTTAGGCTGGCTGAATGGATAAAAAAGATCATGACTCCACTATACACTGTCTACCAAAAAACTCACTTCACAAACAAATATACACAAAGATTAAAAGTGAAGGGTTGGAAAAAGATATACCAGGCAAATGGAAATAAAAGGCAAGAAGGCAGTTATCCTGATACCAGATAAGCACTTTAAATCAAAAACATTTTTTAGGATAGTTCACATGTTAGGCCACAAAGCAAGTTTCTGCAAATTAAAAAAAAAAAAAATTAAAATATACTATGTATTTTCTCATACCATAAAGCAATAAACCTAGAAATCAATAATAAGAACAATAGAGCGCTCATAAAAACTTGCCAATTAAACAACAAGCTACTGAATGATTAATAGGTCTTTGAGAAATTAAAAAGGAAATCAAAACTTTCTTGAGATAAATGAAAATTAAAATACAACATATCAAAATCTGTGGGTTACAGCAAAAGAAGTATTAAGAGGAAAGTTTATAGCATTAAGTGCTTACATTAAAAAAGAGAATGATCTCAAATGAAAGATCTAATAATACATCTTGAATATTTAGAAAAGCAAGAACAAACCAAACCTCAAATCAGAAGGAGGCAAGAAATAAGGATCTGAGCAGAAATAAATTAAATTGGGAAAAAAAAAAAAGGCTGGTGCCACAGCTCAATAGGCTAATCCTCAGCCTGCGGCACTGGCACACCAGGTTCTAGTCCCGGTCAGGG